GGTTGGCAATGACAAAACTGGAAATTTTACGCTTTGATAGTTAGCAGTGAGGCAAGTACGGGGGCCACATATGAAGCTTAGCCTTTTAAGCTCGCGAAAAACCCTTCGCACCCGCTTATGTAATATCTGTGGTATACAGAAGAGAGAAACAACGCGGTAATCCGAGTGGAAATTTTTCAGGATTATAGAGGATTTGGCAGAGATATTTCATCGCTCACCCGCACATCATCCTTTCCCATATGGTTTTCAAAGCACTTTATCCGGAGTTACTTTCCGGTTTCAGAGATATTGAAGTGCTCTGAGGTGAAGGTTTCCAGTACAAATTTCCCACCTAGCTGGAACAGGATTAGATTTTAAAACAAAACAGTATGAAAAGAAAATATTAAAATATCAATATACCCAAACTACTTGTCAAAAAAAACCATATCACAGAGAAGCTCTAAATTACATCGGCGCACTGTATTTTGAGTACTGCAAAACTGTGCTGTGTGTAAGCCTGCTAAATGCACAGCAATTTTGGTCAGCAAAAAAAGAAAACAGTTATACTGCTGCAATCATAAAAAAATGTACAGCTAATTTTGGGAGTAATTCGAAAATTCGGGATAATGCTCACTTATTATTTGCTGAATGATGAGTTTTAGAGGGGCGAAAATTTGGTGCATTTAGCAAGCTAACAAAGCGCAATTGTCGCACGGCAATGATTAATGCCAAGATTACCAAAGCCGCTTAGACAATCAGTGTTGGTATCCCATGTTAATGATGTTACTGAAACGCCTCCCACAAGTGGGGATTATTTGACTTTTATTCTTGGAAATGGGTCCTGGACTCCAAGGGGCATTAATAACATGGCTTTCGGTATTTCTTACTAAGACTGCACGAACTATCGGCCTAAAGCTCTCAGTGGTACCTGAGATTCGATAAACTTAGGAGCCAGGCTTGGTGACTTCTATTACACAGGCTTTAAGGCTGCAAGCTCGTGTCTTTATCATCAACTCTAGTGCTTTATTTACAAAATAGGAATATGCTCGGCACGATTTTAGCTTATACTGGGCATTCCTATCCCTAGGAACTCCATCGGAAACTCAAATTTTCGTTTTCTCTGCCTTCCATGCAAATTTTCAAAACTTCTAATAGAAAGCCTTTTTTTAGTTACTAACAAGAAATTATCTCCCAAAAAATCCCTAAAAAAAACCACCTTTCCTGAAGAAAAAAGGGACTTGCTAGTGCTTTCCGCCACTATCTCAGTTAACTAATAAGCTCCCGTTTTGGCCTTCCAAGTATATTATGAGTGCCGGAAAAGTTGCTTTTTCGAGGAAGATAAGTTTGATTTCCTTAAAAATCAACTTAACGCAAAGAAATTTGAATACGTTTTGAACCAATTTCTCCGAAGACCCAGACATCAAATTTTATCCGGAGAACATCAATGGTCAATTTCGGTCAGTTCTTATCTCATCGTAACAAAATTGGTCAGTGACGAGAAAATTTAATAAAAAGGAAAAAGTTTAAAAGTATAAATAATGGATTACACAAATGTACATATGGGCAAAACCATCACGGAAAAGAAAAAAAAAATCCCTAAAAACGAAGAAGCTATGAGGCATCGCTCAACTGAAAACCACTATCCGTCGTATCATTTCCATCCTCTTCAACCGGAGCAACACCTGATATCCTTCCTTTCCCACGATCCTTACTAGTGAGAGAAACAGTAGTGCCCTTTGCACTTCCCTCCTCAATTTTCTGAAGCTGAATCGCTTCATCGTTTGACAGTTCAGGAATCCGAACTTGCAAATCAGCAATAATTGCGGTCAGCTCATCGCTGTTGATGGATACAGCGTCACCGCTCATATGCGACCCAATTGCGCCAACCTAAAATTTTATATTGATTAAAATATTAAGCATCCTAAATATTAACTTTAATTTTATAATATTTTCACATAAAATTCTACAGAATTTCAATTTAAGCATGCATTTTTGCATGAGTCAGAAACTTAAAGCGCACATTTCTTACAGATGCTGGTGAAGCTCAATGGGCGAAGGAAGTCGGCCCGAAAATTGTGCAGCAAAGGCAGCGGTAACAAAGTGCTGTTATTCCCATATGGCAAAACTACCAATAGAAAGGGTATTAACTTCTAAGTTAACAGCTACATCTGTTTTGGAACATCCCAAGTGAAGCCTCGTTTGTAGGAGCATTGGAACATTCCAGATTAGTTTTTATTATATTTTATATATGTCATCATTGAAACTTTTACCACAAACACAGGATACCCTAGCTGGTTGTCTACAGGGTCTTTAACTGCACACTCTGGATACTTTGAAAGCGTGAAAAAGGTAGTGCAGCTCCATTACTTTAAAGTAAATTTAAATGAAAGAAAACGAACCGAGGAAGATTCGTCGTCCAAATCGCACACCGAACTTCCTCTCAACTGAGAATGAGTCCATTTCTCTGCTTTCTGCAATTGAACCATAAAAATAGAAGCACACCCAAAAGATTCCGGTAACTGGGACTTCCCTGCATATTTTAAACTGCAGACAAGATGGAAGCCAATCCAGTGTTTTCAAACCCAACGCTAACTACATCAGAAATGTCTGGCAAAGAGCTAACTCAGTCAGGGATACCTTAAGTTCCAGATGAGCGATTGACTGCTTCAGATCG